TGCACGGCAGAGAACGTTGAAAATGACCTATGTATATATCGATGGTAAAGTTCAAGCATATCTTTCATAATGATGGTCACGCGATAATTTCTATTACTCTTGGAATAAATAATAAAACATCGTACACGAACATGTAATACTTTAATAATTGATAAGATTTGAAATTTCAATTTTAAAATATCGTATTAAAGATACTAATTGATCCCGTCTCGATGGCTAGTGCACGTCGTCGTATACTTTCATTCTCGAACATTATCGTTCAAAGTTTTCAACATCAATTCAATAGTATAGGTATGTTTCACTTGTCTCTAATCATAATTAATAAAGTTACTTTTAGTTACTTTTAGAATATAATTTTGCTCGTTTTATTTCATACAAAATTATATTCACAGTTATTTAATTTATAAAAAATGAATAGTTTGTGAAATTACTTAATAAAAATGGAAGTCACAAAAGATATTCACATATTGTGTTTCTATAACGTTTCAAAAAATCGTTTCAAACCTTTTCGTACGGAAACCTAGTTTAAACGACGTGGATATATACGCTGTATGTCTCGCAGACGAGAATTTCACCTTTCAATGAAATTCTCGTTTCCGACACAGAGACCTCTCGAGGCGCATAACGCGCCGAGGAATTCTGGTCGACGAGCAGCTCCGAAATCGTGTCAGCACCTCGTCACATATAAATATATCGCCGTCGCATCGACGAGATGAGATTCTAATTCCTCGCGAAGCACGGATCGTCGACTTCGTCATTTCCGGCAGGCGTCGATATTTCTTTCTCCTTTTTCTTCCGCGTGCAATTTTGCTGCCGATGAAAAAAAAAAAAAAAAAAAAAAAAACGCGCATCGCGACACGATCGAGGAGAATATACGACGAGGCGAAATGACGACGAAAAGGAACGAGAAAGCGATGGAAACCAGGAGGAAGAGAGACGACTCACCCTCGGCGGTCTGAAGCCCGATCAACTCCGAGTACTCGCCTTCACCGGCGCTGTTAAATGCCCTCACTCTGGCATTGTAGAGAGAATTGAAATGCAATCCGTCCACGGTGCAGATCGTCTCTCGGCCGCAGTACACTTCCTGATCAAACACACGAGGAAACAATTAAAGGTCGATTTATACGAACACTATCCCCGGTTCACACATGGAACGTTTCCACTTAAACAAACGTTATTGTAGATGATAGGACACTAATGTTTACATACAGTGATTACCTAAGGCTGGTAACTAAAATATTATTGAAACTATTAATTATATCGGGAAATATGTGAAGCATTATCCAAGACATTTGTCTCTCTCTCTTTATGTCTATTATAGATGATAGGATACTAATGTTTAACATACAGTGATTACCTAAGGCTGGTAACTAAAATATTATTGAAACTATTAATTATTGGAAAATGTGTGAAGCATTATCCAAGACACTTGTCTCTCTCTCTCTCTCTATGTCTATTATAGATGATAGGATACTAATGTTTAACATACAGTGATTACCTAAGGCTGGTAACTAAAATATTATTGAAACTATTAATTATATCGGGAAATGTGTGAAGCATTATCCAAGACACTTGTCTCTTTCTCTCTCTCTCTCTCTCTTTACGAGTCAAAGTAAAGCTCTTATTTTCTGACTCTCTAACATTCAATCAAGAATTTTAATGGTGTTCGCAGTTTCCTTTGCCATTCAAGGGAAGTACAATTTAAAATTTTAATTTATTAGTTTAACGTGAATTGAAAGTTACAGTTAAAAGTTAAAGTTAATGTTAAAGTACGGGAGCAAATAAAACTTTCAAGAATGTAAGAATACTTGAAACATTGATCTAATCAAAGAATGAAGTAATGATTTCATTGTGGTGTAGATCATTTTCTCTTATCAAAATCATAACAGTAAATATCAATTCCAAGTTTTAAATCGACAAAACAAAAGCATCATTATACTTTGTTATTCCAAATCAGCATTAAACCTAAAATTTCATGTCTCAAAACTAACATGAATTAATACATAAAATGAATAGATTAAATGATTTACTCTACATTGTTGACGTATTCTAACCATGACTGAATACTTATTGAAAAATTTTTGCAAATTGACTTCAAGATGTTTTTTTCTTTACTAAGAATTTGCGTTGTTACAAATTGGATAACACCAGATATTTCAGTGTTCCGTATAATCAACAGCGTTCTCA